AGGGCCTTGAGCTGGGGTGGCACAGAAACTGAGGTGATGGCAAGGACCAAAAAAAGTCCTGGCAGAAATATTTGCAAGTTGTCCTGCTTTGCTTGTGACCGCATTGGCTCTGCCCAAAAAAGGCATCCACAGCAGGGCGAGGACAAGCACAGGCTTTGGGGAGGGACTCATCTTTTATTTAGCATGGAAGGAGACAGATATGCAAATAGCTACATTGTCCCTTTAAATCCCAGCAGGGCTCTGGTGGCTAACGATAACCCCGGATCATACCAGCCCCTAAATCCCAAGAGCTAATTACAGATGAAGCCTCGCGGTCAGGCTGGAAATGCAAGATAATTACAGCCCGTGCCAAGGAGACCTGTTGGAGACAAACTGGGGCACTGAGGTGCTGGCAGGGGAGTGGGGCAAGGGAGAGGGGGAAGTCCACGGTGCAAACTGGCCACCCCTCCCCGTCACCGTGTCAGCAACCATTTTGGAAGCTATTTTGGGCAAGGGAGGTTGTTTTTCTAGAGCGCTCTTTGCTCCTCCACCGCAGGTACCGGTAGCTGGTTGCTTTTCACCCAGTTTCTGTCTGGGTGCTTCCCAGTCAGATTACACATGAATTCCTGGGAGAGGCTTGGATTTCAGTGCAAGCTCCTCTGCCAGGGTTTGCTCTGCTCCCTGGCGCACAGGGGAAAGTGCCAGCTTGCTCCTGTGCCATGCCTGGAGCTCAGTGGTGCCCTTGCAATGGCTACAAGCCTTCCCCAGGCTTCTACATGAGTTTGCTAAGAGCCTTACAGTGCTCCTGCTGCTTTTCTGCACCTAAGCCTGTGGGTAAGGAGAGTGTAAACCACCCCTCCTGCCTGCCAAGGTGCCCGGGCACACAGGGTTAGCATGCTGCCAGGGCTGTATACTCTTACAGCACGTGGGACCGTAGGGAATCAGTTAATTAAAAGTAATTTTAACCCTTCCTGCCTGGTTTAGTGTTACAGCATGACCCGCTGTCAGAACTGGGACTGTAGCCAAAGAGGCGTGACTCCAAAATGGGTAGTTATTGTGGAGACCTGCAAATGCACCCAAAAAAGGTAGCTCTGTTTCCTCATTAGAGAATTTAGGCTGTGAGGCAGCAGTGGTACAGCCCAAGCAGCGGGAGCAGCCCAGCTCTGGCAGCCCCAAGCCCAGCAGCAGGCTCAGCACAGCCCCCAGCCTGCAGCCAGGCTCGGAGGGATGAGGTCCTCAGGACAGGCAGGGTTTCTTC